TGGGGACACTCGGGGGGGGGTACCTGGGGGTACTTGGGGACACCTGGGACACATCTGGGGCACCTGGGCACACCTGGGGGGTACCTGGGCACAGCTGGGAACATCTGGGGACACTCGAGGGGGTACCTGGGGGTACTTGGGGACACCTGGGCACACCTGGGGGAACATCTGGGGACACACCTGGGAATATCCGGGAACACTCGGGGGACTTGGGGACACACCTGGGCACATCTGGGCACACCTGGGGACACCTGGGGGGTCCCTCTCACCTGTCCTGACTCCCCTTCTCCTCCCCCCAGGCCTTCGACCAACTGAGCCGGATCCCAACAGATCCCAGTGGATCCCAGTGGATCCCAGTTTGGCTCCAGTGGATCCCAGTTTGGCTCCAGTGGATCCCAGTTCAATAAAAGCTCCACGTCCGCACCTCCCTGGTTCCTCTCCTGGGATTTCCGGGCGGGAAAAGCGGGAATTCCGGGTGGGAAAAGCGGGAATTCCGGGCGGGAAAAGCGGGAATTCCGGGCGGGAAAAGCGGGATTTATCCCGGGAAAACGGGAATTCCTGGTGTGGAACCGGTAGGAAATGGAGTTTTGGGTGGGAAAAGTGGGAATTTTCCCTGGGAAAAAGGAGCAGGACGAGGCGCCGGGGGTGGATCCGAGTTTATTCCCGCTCCTCCCAAGGGGGAATTCCTGCACGGGGGAGAATTCCCGGAATTTTAATCCGGAATCTCGGGACTCCTGGGAGGTTTTTTATTTTTTTCACCCATTTTTGGGGTTTTTTTCCCTCTTTTTTCGGGGTGGTTTCACCTGGATTGGGGGGGATCCCAAAAACCTTCCCAGCTGATCCCAAAATTCCCCTGGGGACCCCAAAACTTCTCTGAGGGATCCCAAAATTCCTCCCGGGGACCCCAAATTCCCAATCCCAGGGGGGTCAGGGGGTCCCAAATTCCCGGTTTTTCTCCCCCTCAGTTTTTCCCTTTCCGGGCCCTTCGGGGCCGTTGGAAATTTGGGATTTTCCGGGGGTTCAGGAGCTTCCCCCGCTGGGATTTGGGGTTTTTTGGGATGTCCCGGGTGGGATTTGGGGGTTCCGGGGCGGAATTTTTGGGAATTCAGGACGGAATTTTGGGGTTTTAAAATGGGATTTTTTTTTGAGGGGGGGGGTCCAGAGCGAAATTTTGGGGTTCCAGAGCAGAATTTTGGGGTTCCGGAACAGAATTTTTGGGGGGTTCCAGAGCGGAATTTCAGGGTTCTAGATCGGAAATTTTCGGGGTTCCAGAGCAGAATTTTGGGGTTCCGGAACAGAATATTTTGGGGTTCCACAGTGGAATTTTGGGGTTCTAGATCAGGAATTTTTTGGGATTCCAGAGCGGAATTTCGGGGTTCAGGAGCGAAATTTTGGGGTTCCAGAGCAGAATTTTGGGGTTCTAGATCGGGAATTTTCGGGGTTCCAGAGCAGAATTTTTTTTGGGGTTCCAGAGTGGAATCTTGGGGTTCTAGATCGGGAATTTTTGGGGTTCCAGAGCGGAATTTCGGGGTTCAGGAGCGAAATTTTGGGGTTCCGGAGCAGAATTTTGGGGTTCTAGATCGGGAATTTTTTGGGGTTCCAGAGCAGAATTTTTTTGGGGTTCCAGAGTAGAATTTTTGGGTTCTCGATCGGGAATCTTCGGGGTTCCAGAGCGGAATTTCGGGGTTCAGGAGCGAAATTTTGGGGTTCCAGAGCAGAATTTTGGGGGTTCTAGATCGGGAATTTTTTGGGGTTCCGGAGCAGAATTTTTGGGGTTCAGGAGCAGAATTTTGGGGGTTCTAGATCGGGAATTTTTTGGGGTTCCGGAGCAGAATTTTTGGGGTTCTAGATCGGGAATTTTTGGGGTTCCGGAGCAGAATTTTTTGAGGATCCAGAGTAGAATTTTGGGGTTCTAGATCGGGAATTTTTGGGGTTCCAGAGCAGAATTTCGGGGTTCCGGAGCAAAATTTTGGGGTTCCAGAGCAGAATTTTAGGGGTTCTAGATCAGGAATTTTTTGGGGTTCCGGAGCAGAAATTTTGGGGTTCCGGAGCAGAATTTGGGGGTTCTAGATCGGGAATTTTTGGGGTTCCGGAGCAGAATTTTGGGGTTCTAGATCGGGAATTTTTTGGGGTTCCAGAGCAGAATTTTTTTGGGGTTCCAGAGTAGAATTTTTGGGTTCTCGATCGGGAATCTTCGGGGTTCCAGAGCGGAATTTCGGGGTTCAGGAGCGAAATTTTGGGGTTCCAGAGCAGAATTTTGGGGGTTCTAGATCGGGAATTTTTTGGGGTTCTGGAGCAGAATTTTTGGGGTTCAGGAGCAGAATTTTGGGGGTTCTAGATCGGGAATTTTTTGGGGTTCC